AACAAACTGAAAAATTCATTTGAACTAAGCATTTTTATTTCAATGAAACAAAATATCAAAATATCACTCATTGCTAAAAATTGTTTTGTACCAGAGGCATTGCAATCAATGAAACTTCATTAGTATAAATGTAATGATGATGATAATAGGTGATTAAATATCATAACAATGGGACAATTGCCTGTGGAACAATGATATAATTTAAAACAATCTGTAGTACTGTATGTACTAAAGGTTGGCATACTTGTAGCATAGTTGGGCATGGAGACATACAGGTGTGAGGCCCAAGCAAGACTTAAGCTCACGTGTTAAAAATTTAATAAAAGTGTCAAATAAGGGAATCACACTTTGATTCTAGTGCTTGTAAAAGAAAAACTGGAAAAAACAAAACAAGATACAAATAAAATTTGGAAGGAATCAAATTATTAGTTGAGAGTAAAAAACATTTTTTTAAATATGCTTAAAAGGAGATCTAGTGTGGAGATTATGTGTCAGACTTACAAGTTTGAAACAATAGTTAAATACGAGCAGGAGTTTCAAAGTGCAATTAATTTCTCTTGATCAAATAAAATGCAGTGTCGAATTTGACCCTTCGTAGCCTGAAATGGTCCGTTATTTACCTGGATACAAGAAACTGAACAATCAGAAAGCGAGAGGTCTGGGGAAAGAATCCTTTAAAAGACTGGATCTCAAGGACAAAGGCAAACTTTCCTCTGTCTCATGTTGTGAGTCATCTGACTAGTCTTCAGTGCTCTATGTACGGACTCTTCATCCCTAACTTCACCATTCTGTTTTGGACTGTTTTGGGTTGACACTTCATCACTGGACTTCCCAATACTCATAGAAACATCTCAACCAACCGCTCTGGGGCTATCGACTCTACAGATCAGCTCCAACAGTTGATGAGACACACTATAGAATGTAATTAGAATGTAAGATTTAGTGTAAATAAATGGGTTTATTTGTAACTGCAGCTATCTGCCTCACTTCCATTCAACCCCACATCTGATAAATCCTAACATTTGTTTATCCCCAATTCAGCAACTTCACATAGGCACTGTACACTCTTCTCTAACAGATTTGTCCACAGTTGTTGCAAGTCTCTTTCCAATTTCTCATGCTCATAGATAGCTGAAGATTATCCTATCTGTTTTAAAAATGTTTGTTGGATGAAGACTAGGCCAAGAACATTTGGCAATATGATGGAGATTCCTGGAAACCCCTAGCTGCAGGCCCCAGACATTATCTTGCTGAAAAAAAGACTGGAACCCTGCCATATAAGGCAACACACAAGAACAAAATTTTCCAAACATACCACTGTACTATCAATGTCCCTCAATATCTTACAATATAGCATCCCAGACTAGCAATCCAACAGTAGAGACATCTCTCAACAGTACAGATAATAATGAAGCACTTATCAGTGGTTCTCTACACTCTAACACAGTGGTCATCCATTTTCAAACAACTTAGATTCATTGCTAATGATGATATATTGTCATTCCATAGCAGTGCTAGCTTCTCTGTTATGACACACTGCAAATGAAACTTTTGAGGTGATAATGGCAAGACATGTTGTGGTTGCCGTGCATGCAAATTTGCCCCTGTTATTCATCTGTCAATGGTATGGAAACAGACAAGATTCTGAAGGAAGGCTTTCCTGTCTTTGAATGGTGAACAAAAGATGCTGCTGTAACTATTCATGCGTATCTTACAATCAAATGATTAAGATGATCTCTCCTGGTAATCTATCTGGAACATATAGCTTGCTTGCTATGTACAATGGAACATCGCTTAACAAGTACCTCTGATAACAAGTAATTCACATAACGAGCAAAACAAATTGTAAAAAATGACTCACTTAACAAGCGACATTTCGCATAACAAGTGACGAGGAGAGGGGAAGTCCTGGATTACGTGTATGCTTCATCAGTCTGTGTTTAGCACTTGTTCCGCTAGCATCTTAGTGTCACTTGTGATCACACATTTTTCCAAACTTGCATTCAGACATACTACATATAAACATCAACAACCATAGCCCGTTATATAATAAGCATGCCAAACGATTCATGCCTTTACATAGCTAAATTCTTGGTCTATGTAAAGGCTATAATTAAATATTAGAAATTAATTAATTTGACTAGAGGTAGGTAGTTATGCTGCCATCTCACATTAAATTTAATAATTAACTCCAAATTAAATTTTAAAAATGTCTAAATTAAATATTAATTATTTATAATTATTAAATTTAACACGAAATGAAAGCATAACTGCCTACCTCCAGTCAAATTAGTTACAGTAATTTCTAATATTTATTTATAGCTTTTACATAGCCCAATAATTTGGTATATCGTTTGGCGTGTTTATCAGACATACTGTATTATCTGTGATATTTTTTTTGTTTTCTGCAAATCGAATTCGCATTTCAGGTTGGTTCATTCCGTGCTAGAAGAAAAGATGATGATCCACGCTCCTTAACAATGTATAATTTATAATTTTCTTTGAATGAACGTTATACATAAAATATTTGAGTAGTTTTTTCGGCATGCAACGCATTATCGTATTTTACATTAATTTATATGGAAAAAATAGTTTCGCTTAACGAGTGTTTCGCATTACGAATAAGATTCTGGAACGAATTAAGCGAGGTTCCACTATACTCGTGTTTTCTGTTTATAATTACAAATTATAAATGCTTTGTTCGAAATTAATATATAATGTACTAACATATATAATTTTCTTTTACAGGATCAGGCAACATTTAGAAGAAAAGCCTTAGCATTCTATGGACGAATTCTGCAAAATTTAGTTCAGTAGTTTAACTATAGTCATAGTTATATTTACTACTTGTGAATAACGTGTGAATCATTTAACCTACAAGATGATGTTGAGAGATGCCATAAATATGACTGATAAATTAGAAGCTGAATATGATGGACATTATCTGTTCCCTGAATTGTGTGGTTGAAATCATTTAAACAAATTTAATAAGTGACAAGGATTCACGTTGAAATATCTCTCAGCCTGTAATCAATGTTTGTGGAAAGTGGAGAAGTTTTGACTGTGACTAAAACCCAAATTTTATGAGAATCGAACAAGATAAAAAAAACAACCCGATGATGATTTCACCAACTGTCAGTATATGTCAACTTTCTGACCTGAGAAAGTGTCAACTTATGCCTTCTCAGAGTTGATAGTGACATCTTATGGCACTTTTCTCTCGACTTTTAGTCACCTCTAAGGAATTTGCACCTTTTAAGTTACTCATCGTATGATAATACGATGAGTAACTTTAATCAGTCGTCGCTCATTTTTCATTTGGATTAGTGTTTGTGTGCCTTCCTATCTAGTCACTGGAATTTACAATTGTGTGCTTCATCTGCATTTCTGCTTGAGTAGTATTTGACGCAATATACATCATCCAAATTCAAAGCTCTACGCATCAAGAACGGTGCTGTGCTTCCCATCGTGGGATATATTTGTCCAGATTCTTAAGGTACCGAAATTTGTAAACTCTCTTTCTCCGATGATAGATCTGCGTATCCTCGAATACTATGTCTCAGTTATGTAACGAACTATAATTTTTCGTGCCGACCAATAAATGTTTAAGTGTAGTTGATTGTGTTGAGTGATTCTTTCCAACTGAATCTCGTTATTTTCTACTCCATCCTCTTCCCCCTAGTCTCATATACGAGAGCGCGTTATTACCGTCCACAAAACGCTGAAAAACTCGAGAAGTGTAATCATTTACATTTGGCGATAAGAATGCTCTAAAGGCCGTACAAATCCTATAAAAATCCTATATTTATTAAAAATTGTACAACATATGATCTTCATTCAAGCAATGCCCGTATAGAGAGAATATTCAGTTGAATGAAACACATATAGTTTACGATTTAATGGGATAAAGCAACACAAGTGGACGAGGTCAACGGTTTTTTTTGTAAAAGTTGGCAGTTAATAAGGCACTCTTTCCGCTCGTAGAGCACTAAGAGAGTTACAAGAGTGTATATAGAAGTGTAAACTTGTCCCAGAGTAAACTCATATAGTTAATCTATACCATTTCGGTTAATAATTTTAGTGGTTATGTTATATTTGTGTTGTATGTATGGCGAAAAGAATTATACTTATTTATGTTTTTTCTGAGTTTTCTATTAGTGGTTTTATAGAATGACTAAGTGCATTCTATTTGAAGGGTTATAGACTAAGTAATTAGTCTATAATCCTTCAAATACTACACTAACAAGTAAGACTTAAGTAACATAATTACATAATTACCGACACCAATACCCAAACGTAAAATAATACATGCAAAGACAAGGAAAGAAAAAAAAAACACAATACAGTATATGTAATTTTTAAAACATAAATAACATAAACAAATATAAAATAATGTTCAAAAAAGTTTTTAAATATATAACTTTAAAATAATTTAATTAAAATTTCACAACAACAATAGGCAATTATACAAGTTAAAGAAAAGTAATAAAATTTAAATTCTTAAGAAGTAACATCATTAAACAGAGAGCAAGTCTCTCTACGTATGTTCTAGCTACTTGGAAGATGATTCATTACTTGAATGCTTTGCCATATTCGTTTCTGTAGTATTATGGATAGTTTCTTCCAGATTTAATTCAGATTTATATGTTTCTACAGAAGATTTCTTTGCATCGCCGCTATCTATTTCTATGTTATCAAATTTTGGAATGTATGTCATTTTATCGTTTCTGAGTATTTCAGCAAAAAACTTGTCCATAAAGATATGTGCTTTAGTAATTCCATATATAACACGAATCAAATCGAAAGATATAGAACGTTTGTCTTGTGTCTGTTCAACTTTCTTCTCATTATCATCCTCGATTTCTAAATTGGCGGCTGATGAAATGTGACTGAATGCTTTACTGTATTCTCCCTATAAATGTATAGATATTCAGTTTATAGGAAATAAATGTTGACATATAAATTGAACTTACAAGAGACATATAAATTGTGGAAAGTGTAGTGTGAACAGAAATGAGGGTAAACACCAAGTTCGATTCTTTCGCAACAGATAGACAATGTTCTAAGGATTTGATAGCTGTTTCCCATTGACCGTTGCTATAATCAAAATATTTAATTAAAAAATTAACAGGTCATTTACTTACAAAGTGAAACTCACCCGTGATAAATTCGTGCCAAAGCTTGATAGGCTGCACATAACTGCTCGTTATTCTTAGTTTCTTTACTCAAATATGCCAACATTTCGAAATGCTAAAATTAATACTAAAAATAAACACTTAAATATACTGTAATTTAGTATCGCTATCTGCCTCCACACTCAAGTGCCTCTGAAAGTGGCACTTGAGTATGACATTAAACTGAAGTAGTCTACTTAAAACAATAAGAATTATAATAATTTAGATACTGAAATAGTTTCCGTGTAATGTTTTCGGGGACGAGCCGTTCATAATTAGTCGTTTGCTCTTTACCAGGGTAGTAGCATTTACTGTATGAAGATATTATATCGAGGTTTGAATATGCATATAGAAATAAGTAAACAAAAACCCAACAAACCTTCTGAGATTTTTCAGTTTCTTTCATTTTTTCAAAGAGATTTCCCAATTTCTGATGGGAAACAGCTTTCTTCGTTTTATCTCTGGCTACTCAAACATAAAATATATCTTTTTATTATAAAATTTACTCATAACCATTAACGTTCAACACGAATATTACCGTTATTTGCAACTTCTAAAGCTTTCATATAGTATTTAACAGCATCCTCATGATTTTCTTCTTCTCTCATTTGCCCAAGTGCTATACAAATCTTATATAACTCTAACGAAATTAGTTCTTGTAAAGGTCGATCTAGCATTTCTAAACTCCAAGATCTACCCTTAGCTTTATCGTGTGCTTTCTCCAAATAACTTTGAGCTGCTTGCAAATCATCTATTCATAGGTAAATTTAAGATAATATTGTAAATTGTTTTAAGTAGTTCGAGCTAATATTGTGAAATACTTACCTCTAAATTCTGCATGAATTCCTAATTGGTAATCAATCAGAGCCGATCTGACTTCACGGTTATATTCAAGTTTGTGAACAATTTTCATGCAATTAGAATAGAGATATTCTGATAACCAATAATCTTGTTCATTTTGGAAGTGATTTGCTGCTTTTGTTAATACTTCGAATTTTATTCCCCAATGTCCTAAGCAAAGAAATTTTCTTGTAAACATTTTTTTTTTTTTAGAAAATTATTATCACGTTGATGAAACCACTTACCTTTCCTATGATTAATTTCTGCTTGCATTAGACAATTTGTTAAAATTTGTAATTTGTCTGGTGTGTTGTTTAGTAAATCTACTTTGCTTTTGTATTTTGGAACATCATTTCCATATAATTCATTGTTAAGCAGCAGAATGGATTGAAGTTCCTCATGGGCTGAAACAAATCCTTTCTGCAACAAATCTACAGCTGCTCTATGCCCATATGTCTGATAATAACTAAAAATTATTTTATGTATGAGATTTAAAAAAGACAAATTTATATATTTTAAGAAAATGTGAAGCTCTTTAGGATTTATTACAGGATTTAAGACATTAAAACTATTAATAAAATAGCTTTAGATTAGTTACTTAAAGCAAGTAACTAATTGCAGTTACTTGCAATTAGTTACTTGCTTTAAGTAACTAAGTTTACTAAGTAACTAAGTTTATAATTAGTTACTTAAAGCAAGTAACTGTGTTTTAAGTAACTATATAGGCGACCATGTAGCCTAAAAGGAAAGGTCTGGCCGCCTCAAGTTTGTTATAGAATATTTTAAAGAAATAAATGGTGATCGCTCCAAAATATTTTTGGAAAATGACTGTCTTTTTTATATTAAGATTTACTATACTAATCCATATAAGTCAACTTTCCTGAAATTGTTGTTCCAAAATTTAAGTTTATAGTGAACCTGAAGGTAACCCACTCAAGGATTGGAAATTTCATTCACAAAATGGGTTAAATATCTTAAATAAAACAATTATTTTATCATAATTTAGTTTTTTTTGTATTTAATTTAAAAGGCTCACCTGGATATTTCTGACCTTTCTAATTTGGCTAGTTTCTTCAAATGGGATTCTGCTATAATTAGTAAAGGATTTTTCTTCTCCGATATTTTAAATTTGTCAGGTTTCATGACTGATATTAATTACATTAAATCTATCATCGAATATGTATTAAATATTTCGTAAATTTTTAGTTAAATTTAAGAAAATTAACGAATTTTGAATATACTTTTAAATACGAAAACATTCATTTCATATTTAGACTACTGAATAGTTCTANTTTTATTTCCACAATTTTGTGAAAATATGTTTATTAAAAAATTCAATATTTGTTTTATATTATATTTATATTATATAATAAAATCACGGTATAGAACTGCGGCTCCCATGCATTTTGCAAATCCTACATTTCGGCTCCCACTGAACTCTTTCTTGCCCACCCCTGATATATACAGAGTAGTCCCAAAACTCATATGTATCCTATATGATTTCTGGATGCCATCTTATATACAATTTACTTTATTACACTTGTATAGGAAAGAACATCATATTCAAAAATATACTAGAAATTCTCCAATTTTTATGTTCAAATTGAGGAAAACTTGTATAAATCTAAATGTATTTTTAATCCTAATTTAAATAATTCTATTTATCACCAAACATTCAAAGTAAAAGGAAGGAAATATCCGTATGCAACTAAAATATTTTCCTTTAATAGATTATAAATAATGTTTTTGTTCTTGTAAGACTTCTCAAAGGATACTTAAAACTTCTGTGATAAAATTTTTATACAAACATATAAATTCCAATAAAACAAACATTAAAATTGAATTAATTTAAGAATGATTGTTAATACTAATATAAACAATAAATAAAAATCATTAACTGATTTTTATATTTCTATTTACAGATTTTTAGAATGATTCTAAGCAGCAAATTTCGGAGGACTTTCTTAGTTTTCCTGTGCTTCACGGGTGCCGTGCTGTTAGTGTTTTTTATGATCAGTACACAATATTTAACCATAACCAGCATGAATCTTTATAGAGAAGTGCGTAGTCATTTACCTTTAGTATCTCCTGTCACGATAATTAGTCAAAACGTCACGAACTATCAAACGACTGAAGTACCTTCTCCAAAGACTGAAAAATCTGTGGTCAATATTAGCGAAAATTTAGTATCGGAGGAATCACTTAAACAGATTATAACTGGAATTTATGAGCCATGCTTCGATTTTCATATTAACAAACCTACCGCGTGTAATGGAATGAAAGCACCTGTTGCTCTAATTGTTATATCTGCTGTCACGAAAAGATCTGCAAGAAATGCTATTAGGGCAACGTGGGGTGGATACGCTACTAAACTTGGATTTCCTGTATTGTTTTTATTAGGAGGTACGCCATACCCTCATCAGCAGCTCACTATTGACAAGGAGGATGCATTCTTCCAAGATATAATCCAAGAAAAGTGCTTGGATACATATCGCAATATGACACTTAAAACTGTCACTTTAATGAAGTGGGTGGCAGAACACTGCTTTAATGTGCCTTACATATTAAAAACAGACGATGATATGATGATAAATGTAGATCGTTTGCAACTATTTCTAAGCTCTCTAAATGCAACTAAAACAATATTTGGTAAATTAGCCAGTGGATGGTCTCCTCATCGTTCTCATCTTAGCAAGTGGTATGTACCAAAAAGTGAATATAAGGATCGAGTATATCCTAATTTTACTACAGGACCCGCTTATTTATTTACTTCAGACTCTGCTAGAAATCTTTACGAGACAAGTTTAAAAGTACCATTTTTATTCTTGGAAGATGTCTACATGACTGGTATTGTAGCGCAGCAAGCTAGAATTCGTCGGCTTTCAAATACTGAATTCAAGAATTATCCTTTGCGAGCCGCTGCCAGAACTTTTAAGAAAATTATTTCCAGTCATGGGCACTCTCCTAGAGACATTTACAAAATTTGGTTTAGATTTTACAAACCAAGTGTGGAAGATGATCGATGACGTACTTCATATATATCTTTCCAATATAGTTCCGTTTTAGGAACTTTTAAATAGTTTTTATAATTTTAAAAAGCAAAAGAATAATAAATTTCTTTTCTAAAATCAAAATATTTATATTTTCAATTTTTTAACATAATAATTAGTTCCTCCAAGGGGTTGATCAGTGTTCCGGGAACACAGGTGTTTCGCAAACCTGCCACGAATATTCCATAAAAATAGATTTTAAAGTTTTTATTGCAAATTTATTCTAATGGATTACAAAATATTACCATATTCGTAGACAATTCCATGTTTCTATTTTATTCAATACCTTAAAGTTTATTGCTTCATTGTTTTCTGAGAATAGTAAACATGGAATTGCTTGTAAATTTTTAAATATATTGATGTTAATGCTCTATGTAATAAAAAGTATATGAATGATGTTCTACGGCCTCAGAAAGGTCGAGAACCGCTGTTATGTAGGATCGTCATAAAAAGCTCTAGAAATGTAGAAGTTCTCTTAAAACAACTATTTAGGTGATTTAATTTTAGAATTATCTATTATAATTTTTGGGCGGAGCTCTTCATAAATCAGAAAATATTTTGTCTGTGATCTCAGTTCAAAGTAACTCACGACTATTAAACACGATTTTTTGCTAATACGTACAACTCGACAAGCCAGATGTCACGACAAAGCCGGAATTTTAAAGTAGGCCTAATTTGATCTGTGGGCCAAGATATTCGAAGTCAAATTTTCCATATAAATTGTATGGGCGGGTTGCCGGTTGTAAGCTCGTCGTGCTCTACAAGTCAATCGAGTTTATGATTGCTGTTAATGTACAGTACATTGATTGAACGCTATGACAATTTTTTATTTTGATCTTTACGACGAGCATTTAACATGCTCGTTGTCGTGACGAAATTAGCTTTTAAAACCTTGCGCACGTGTCCTGATGCGACACATGTGCGTGTTTTAACCGATCGCTGGAGTTGGTAGGCTGCTAACTGCACGCACGTATGTGTTTTAAACATAATATTGGTAATGACGATGGACGTGCACGTCCCACCCGTACCTGTAAGTTTTAAACTGCTTTATACAAAACGTTAGAATCTTATCTCCATATTTCTGTTTTTGTGTCAAGTCGGAAACAAAAGAATCTACCCCGTGCAGCTCAGTTTCCTTATCCTAAAACATACCTAATATCGATTACTAGGGGTCTTCGTCCTCCCGCACCCTGCGTTTACTTGTTCAAAAATTTCGTGACGATTCATCGGTTTGCGGTGCCACTATTTCTTTTTGTTTTTTCTTTTTGTGTCAGAGAAAAGTCGTAACGATTTTTAAGCTAATTATTATGTATCTAGAAGATAGAAAAATTGACACATCTAGAATTATGTAGAACAATTCAATTTAATTAGATGACCCATGAGAATTTAATTCTACAGATTTTGCAAATTGCAATCTTCTCTACTATTTTATAAACTAAAATATTTTTCGTATAAAACTTAATTTCTGTGAGAAAGTTACAGGAAATTAACTTTTTAGTAAGTTTTTATGTTAAATGCAAACAAATTGTTTTGTGAAAAAGAAAGCAATTTTGTAGATTTTTATGGAAACTGATTCAAAGCGCTTCTAACTCTAAAAGAATAGAAGCGCTGTGAATAAATTTTCATAAGTCATATGCAGTATTTATGATAGATCATCTCTATAAGAATTTAATTCTATAAATTTTTCTATTGAAGATTGCAATTAAGGTGATTGTAATAAAACCAGGTCATCTAGGCGTTTGACGATCAACACATCATTACGTAAACAAAAACTTAGCTGGCCAGGTTTTACCTCAATCACCGTATAACTGAATTCTTACAAAACTGAAGTTTGAAAATGTCATTACAGAACACCTCTATAAGCATAGTTAAATTAAATTTAGTTAGTAAAGTTAAGTTATTGATACTCATAGAAAATTTAATTTCAACTTTTCTATGAATATCTAGTTATATAAATTTTCATAAAAATTTAAATTTTATATGAGAAATATTTATTAACATAAAATTAGCATAAATCTTAAGGATTTTACCTTTCTGAAAGTTTTGTAATTACATATTACTTAAGAAAAACTATTTTATAAAATATCTACCTTGTAGGAATAATAAATGGCAAGAAACTAACATGGAAACCTCAGATCGAAAAAGTAGGAACTGAAATTACAATAATAATACAACAATATGTTTAAAATAGCCAAAAATATATATTTTTATTTAGTTTTTTCCACTCCACTGTAATGGAAGAAGTAGATAGATTAAATGGAGAATAATTAAAGACTTTATTAAATTTATGATAAACACCAAATACCAAAATTACTTGACAATCATTTAATATTAAGATTGTAAAGGAGAAATAGAAGAATTGCTCGCTTGTTCTTCAACTGAAAATTTTATTATAGAATAAACAAGTTATAAATTATACAAATTGCTTCAGTTCATCTATTGAACACTCCTACGCTAACAGATTATCATTTATTGATAGAAATATATTACGTATAAAATGAGAAACTTAAAAATCAAAGATGCCATAAACACCTTTATTAGTCACTAGCAGACCCCGCCACGCCTTGTTGTGGCTCAAAATGTATCTATTATAAATATATAACACTTCCCCAGTGGGGGAAAATTTTTCGAAAAATCCCTTCTTAGTGTACAGTACATTCTGTTGACGTATCCTATTAAAATGCAATCAAAAACGCAAAAACCCGTATCTAAAATAGTATAATAGAAGCCAAGTTTTTCAGAGTAAGCCTTAATCCTGTCTCTCTCCCCCGCGGGGGGAATATTGAAAAATCCCTTCTTAGTGTACATTCTGTTGACGTACTCTATTAAAACGCAATCAAAAACGGAAAAAACTGCATCTAAAATGGTATAAATAGAAGTAGAGTTCTTTACGGTAACCTTTTCCGTAAGGCTTACCGTAAAGAACTGTCCATCCCCCATGTTTAACGGAATAATATA